TGATGGACAAGTCAACTGATATTGTGGATGCAATTGCTAGGCTCTCTTACTTCTATAAGCATGAAAGTTGTGGGCAGTGCACACCATGCAGGGAGTGGTCAGGATGGCTGTGGATGATCATGGAGAGGCTAAAGGTTGGAAACGCGAAGCTGGAGGAAATAGACATGCTTCAAGAGGTGACAAAGCAGACACACCAACTGTGCATTGGGCGATGCTGCTACTTGGCCTGTGTAGGGACATATCAGTGCACGGTGTGCATCCATCCACTATGCCTGGAGTTACTGGTTTGGAAGTGCTTATTCATTGGCAGGGCCTACCTGATTTTGAAGATTCTTGGGAGCCTTTTGACTTGCTTCGAGACCAATTTCCTCATTTTAACCTTGAGAACAAGGTTAGACTTTGGGTGGCGGATAATGATAGGCCCCCAATTAACTTTACGTATGCCAGGAAGGGGAAAGGTCAGCTTTTGGCTAAGGGGGGAAATAATTGAACATGGGGGCAATTATAGCTGGAGGGAATAAGGAGAGTCTTGAGGTATTTATAAATATGTCAGTTAGGAATAAGAAGAGTATGGGCATTTATAACTTGGCCAGCTGGGCATTTATTGAGGGAGTCAATTATGCTGTGAGAAGAGTATAAGAAGGGGCTTTGGGGGATGGGGGAGATAGCCTTTTGTTGAGTGAAGAATACTGTGAGTGATTGGGAGAGCCGGCAGTCTCTCGAAGAACCGACCAACTGTTAATGTTCTTCTTTTCTTCTGAATGAATACCAGTTCCTTTGTTGATGTTCTAGTTGTGTGAATTCTGTTGCGAGTCTGAGAATTGTGTGTCAAGTTTCTGGGACCTAACAAGAAGCTATAGATGATAAGGGTTAGCTTTGCATTTCCTTTGTTTTTCTATACTAGGGTAGTATAGTTGTACCACATCATATTTGTACATATATATGTACCACTTGTAAGGATAGAATTGTCCATTCGCCATCATTAATAATACAAGGATCTTCTCTGGGTGACGTCAATATTCTAGACACACCCATCCAACCCTAGTGTGTACATCATACTCTGCTCTTTGTCATGGTATCAGAGCAGGTTGCTCTGTAGGACTTGAATTAATGCAAGTTGCTGCACTACCTGCTATTGATCAAGGACAGTATATGGAGTCATATGGATATTTTCTCCTCTGTTTGGCACAAGGTTCTAAGTTTCAATACGTATCAAGCTGTATCGTGGGCTTCCCAACACGCCCCTACCGGGGGTGTTTCGAGGCCTAAACCAGTTCAGGGGGTAGACGGGCCTTTAAACCGACCTCTCTGAACCAGGTTGGAAAAAAACTAAAAAAAAGGATGCGAGCCACGATACAGTCCGATACACCCCTACCGGCGTATCAAACTGTATCGATATTTTGAGCCTTGGTTTGGCATCAATGCTTTGAACCATGACCCCAACTTCTGTGAGGGATTAAAATTCACCTTTTTTTGAAAACAAATAAAGAAGAAAAATTTATTGAAAAATAAAATGGAACATAAGTCTTAGGTGACAAGGTATCACCATCCAACATAAAAAAGAAACTCCGAAAAATAAAACACAATAAACAAAGATACAACAATTAACCATTCAAAGTACATAAAAATCCGAACCAAAGTCTTCTTTTATGAGCCTTCAAACTCCAGAATAATTAACACCCAATCTAAGTGATTTGAGTTGATAACTTCCCCCAACTTTTCTTTGCTCTTCATCTTCCTACCGAAAATACCTCTATTTCTTTCCTTTCGCACCTTTGAACAAACGGCAAAAAGAATGCAGCTCCTAAGGATTTTGACTTTGATGTTCCCAAATAATATTGTCCATGCTTCAAAAATGTCAGAAGACCTATTAAGAGACTAACCATCTGGTCTGAAAAGCTTGAAGAAATAAGCCCAGATTCCTTTCACATAACTGCAACTAACTAACATGTGAAGCCTCTTCCACTGATAGGCATAAAACACATCTGTTTGGCAAATAGAAACCTCTCTTCTTCAGCGTATCTTGCATAAGAATGCTGTCAATTGTCACCAACCAAGCAAAAGCCTCCACTCTTGGAGGAACTGGTTCCCCCAAATTCCTTTGACTGAAAAGACTTCTACCTGATTCCTAATCCTAGCCAAAGAATTTCCCCAACAATGGTAGAAGCAAAGAATTAAATCTCATGAGAAGATCTCACCTCCCTCACATCCCACCTAAAATCCACCACCCCATATTTGAACACCACAACCCTCCAAAGCCCTTTCCTCTCCCTCCCAAACCTCCAAACCCATTTCCCCAACAATGCTTTGTTAAAGATCCCCACTCTCCTTATACCCAACCCCCAAAATTTTTTGGCCCTACATACTCACTCCCATTTAACCAAATGAAAAATTCTTTTTTCAACCTTAACATTCCACAGAAAATCCCTTTGAAGTTTACACAAAAAAAGGCATTTGAATGGAAAGGTAGAAATTCGAATTAGCTTAATTTCTTGCAACCAAAAAAAGGCATTTGAATGGCAAGTTACTTCATGAACGTTATATGCACCTCTTCCTTCACATGCCCAGAGGTTGTAGTTGATGTTCCCATTCCACAAGTATATTGCACAAGCAAGCTATCTCCTAAACGACTCCCCAGGAAAAAGAAAGAATTACCAATTGTTGTGATGCCCTACAACATAAATAAAACAAACACCAGTTACAACTTTTTGCTATTAGAAAAAGATATCAATGAGTAAGATATCCAAGAAAAACTAAAACAGTTTTTATTTCAAATAATGAAACTAACCGAAGTCAAAACTGAGGCTTTAGACTTCGAAAGTTCAAGCCTTTGCACAACCCTGTAGAAGAAAAATAAACAAGTGAAAAAGATCAACAATCACTAAACTAATACTTAAAGTTGTTTCTTATTTCTTTAAATGTAGACAAAATATTAGAAATACCAGATAAAAGGGAGGAGATGAGATTGCAACTTTTTGTTTTGCTTTTAATTCATTTTTTACATTTAACATCACACTAAGACATTGAACATTGCAAGGAACCAGATGCAGTGACTCAATGAGTAGTTAAGAATTATATCCTATAAATATGAAACTTAATAAATGTCCTCCATCTAATCCATAAATTTTATTCAGGTGAGATTTGTTAACCATAGAGCAAGATTTAAGGTTCAAAATTAAATAACAAAGCAGCTAAAAATGCTAAACAACATACATGCTGTTTTTTTTTTTACAACTTCAGAAAAATCATAAAAATGTATTTTATTAAAAAGAGATTAAGAGCAAGAAAAACACTTACGAACAAAATAGCTATCTTCCTATTGGATGGTTCATATCAAAAAAGGTCAAATAAGAACATAATCACCTGTGTATTAATCAAAATAAATTAATAAAGCAGCTAAAAACTGTTAAACATACACACTGGGTTTTTTGGACACAACTTCATAAAAAGTATCAAAATGCATTTTCTTAAAAAAGAGTGTAGAAGAAAGGAGAAAATTTATGAACAAAATAGCCATCTTCCTCTTGGATGGTTCATATCAACAAAAACAAAGTCATATAAGAACATAAACACCATTGCATTAATCAAAATTAATTAATAAAGCAGCTAAGGTTAAACAACATACATGCTAGGTATCTTGGAAAATCAACAGGCTGCTATAACTTCAGAAAAATCATCAAATTGTGTTTTCTAAAAAAGCTAGTAGGCATGACAAAACACTTGTTAATAAAATAACCATCTTCTTCTTGAACAACAAGCTCCTATCTCCCTACCCTTGTATGATATCGCAAATACTCCCACCAGCTGAAGATTTCACCCAACTTATCTATACTATATATAAAGCGGATACTTGCCTTGGTTTTGGTGCAGGTCATAAAAGTTAAATTTGATTATATAATGTTAATTACCTCATATCATTACTCTTTGCTTGCACACATGCATAGCATGTGCCCTTACACTAGTGACCCTAAAACTCCCATCCACCTCCAATCTAACCAACAAAATAGCTTTGGTAAACTATTGTCACTGCCATAAGGCCATTGCTTCTGCTACTAACAAATTCCTTCTCTTAGTGGACCAGATAACAACATGCAAAACTGTACCATCATGATCACTTGAAGCACCACATATTGACGGCCAACACAGTTTCTAATACAGCACCTTTTAAGATTTATTTGTATTACAAATGGCTTAGGATAAAACCCAAGCTGACAAACAACAGAGCTTTGATTCAAACCTGACAGGAGCCACTTTGTGCAAGCAAAGGAGAAGGTTAGGTTCCTACCAAATCCACCCCGAACAAGACCACAGATTAGCTGGGACCTGCAGTAGGTAATGGCCCTTACAACTGGCTTAGGTTGCCTGTTCTCAATATGCCCAACCTTAACATAAAGATTTCCACTATTTAGACTCATGTACCTAACCACTTATTATAAACTCTGAATATTCTGTTAGAGAATGAGTTTTAGCAAATATTCATAAATTTAATAAATTCTATATTAATTTGACAGTTAATGGACTTGCTTCCAACCCAAGAAAAATTTAACCAGGCAGAATATTTGTTCTTCGGAAACAACAAATAAATACATTTAAATATAGGATGCACAGAAGTCACCTACCGCCCATCATAAACCAATGTCAGCAGGAGTAGCTCTCCTGTTTTTGTTGATAGGATGGCTACATCATGCAACAACCAGGTTGCATTGGCTGCATCAAGTTCCACATTGAAACTTGATCGTGGTATGTCTTGACTGCATAAAAAAAATGGAAAACGAAAAAAAAAAATCTTCATGTTAGTACAAACCACTCAGGATCAACCAGTTACCTATGAGTGGGATCCATTGCTGGATCCCCAATAGGAAAGCACCTTAGAGTGTGTAAGTGCAGATTGCCAATGTAAATACAAGGAGGATTCTTATTGGGGGATACAGTAAATGATCCTGCTCATAGGTAACCAGTACATCGCAAGTCACAACACAGCATAAACAGCCGAATGGACATTAAATTAAATCCCATGCACAACCACCACCAATTTATAAAATAACAAAAACATTTCATTAGTAAAGAACTCGTACCATCAGATTTAAAAAACAGAAAGTGTTTCTAAAGAAACTCTTACAATCAAAAACTTCCTGCGCCTAGCATACATTGCATTATATAGCTGAACTATGGAACATAACAAACATACATCCAAAATCTTATTTTAAAATTTGAGCCTCATTAATTGAAAGTGAGAACATAAGGTATAAGGGCTTCATCAAGATTAACTAATTAAGTTTTGAGTTTCTAAAACCATTTTGTTTGGGACTAGACTATTTGTAATCCTATTTATGATTTTTGTCATATGCATCCATCAAAGCTATGTTTTTACATTATGATTAGACATATAAATATAAATACGTGCTCCTTTACAAATTCATACAATTACTTTTATCTATCAAGAAAAGACCCAATATGAAGTAGAAAATTTGAAATTAATAGATTTTCAATTAAGGGCTCACAGTATGGTGCAATGGTAAAAGACTAAAATCTCAGGCTGAAAATAGTGAAACACTAGTTCAAGTCTAAGAGTAGCCACTTTGTGCAAAAATCAACAGATGTTAGGTCTATATCCAGCCTATCCCTCTCACAACCCCAGATAGCCAGGACCAGCAGCGCCTTTGGACATTAATAAACCTTCCTATTCCAGTTGTTGATCGTTCTCCTTTTATTGTGTTTTCTTTTTATCAATAACAGAATCGCTTTATTAAAAATTAAGATTAAAGTTACAAGTAGAAGAGAGCAAAGTGGAGATGTAAGCTCTCTTAACCATCCCCACAGAAATCACTCAAGATTACAACAAAGCCCAAAACAATTGATCCCTTCCTACCCCTTCTTTAGCAAGTGTATAAGCAAAGGAATCAGCACATCTTTTCACCCACTGCATTCTTCCATACCCTGTATTGCATCTATAATCATATAATAGCAACACATTTTTCTTAAATTGTATGCACTGATGATGCTAACATTTTTTTATCAAGAACAGAACCATTTTATTAAAGATAAAAAGGATGAAACATGGTGCAGGAAGAGCTAAACTCTCTTAACTCTCCCCCAAAAAAACAGCAGAATTACAATTTAGCCCAAAACATTTGATCCCTTTCCACCCCTAGTTTGGCAAGTGCATCTGCAAAGGAGTTGGCACATCTTTCGACCCACTACAATCTCACTTCCATACCCTGAGTCACCCACTTAAATTTTCTTCTTTGTTCTTTCATTAATGTAGCTCCACAGGTCATTATCCTCCTCTAGCTAGCCTATTACCAGTTTTGAATCTCCTTCAATGAACAATCTGCTAATATTTAGCTTCTTAGTACTGCAATTGGGCCTGAAAACAGAGCAATAACTTCACCTTCTTCATTCCTGAAAACTCCTCCAATACCTAAAGGGCTAGAGTTTACTTCACTACTACCATCAAAGTTCAGCTTAGTGAAACCAGACACTGGTGGAGTCCACAAAGGAGAGGACACGGTATTACTAGGAGTTGAGGATGCCATTTCCTTCTAGTCATTCAAACATACCATTGTAGAAATATCACCAAATAAATACATACGTTTCACCCAATGAACCACCCCAGCAGTAATTACCCCAATAATTGCCCCTCTACTCCTCTCCTTTTCAGCAAAAATTCTTTGGTTTCTTTCCTCTCGTACTGTCCAACAAACCGCAGCTCTTGTGCATCTCCACAACACTCTTCCTCTCTTCTTTGTCTAGCTACCTACAGAAGGGTCAAAAAGGCTTTGTACATTTGGTTGGGTCCACCTGCAACCAAACAAAGAGAGAAACCAATTCCAAAGGCCCCAATCCTTGGAGGAACCAGTTTACCCCAAATTTCCTCTTGACAGTGTGGCCGGCCAGAAATAAGAAAGAAAGGGAAGAGAAGAAGGGGGAAGAGAGAAGAGAAGAGGAGAGATTGGTGACCAATGGAACAGTGCTGGTGGCACCAGCTTCTATTAGTATTTATAGGGCATCTAAAAAAAAGGAAAAAAGACCTCTGTGCCCTTGCTGTAAGTAAAGTACAATAACAGAAAATTAAAAAGGCTTTTAACCAACCAAACGGACCCTAGCAAGACAAAATTAATAGACAAGAAATAAAATAAACTATTTCAACACTCCCTCTCAAGTTGGAGCATAGATGTCAGTCATGCCCAACTTGTCACACAAATCTTTATGCCGCACATGATGACCCTTGGTGAAATTTTCTGCAAGTTGTTCTTCTGAGCTAACATATGGAGTGCACACTTCTCCATTCACAAGTTTTTCTCTAATAAAATGCTTGTCCACTTCGATGTGTTTCGTCCTATCATGSAGGACTGGATTAGCAGCAATGTTGATAGCAGCTTTATTGTCGCAATAGAGTGACATAGGACTGCTAACTGCAAAACCCAGTTCACCTAACAGGTTTCTTATCCACATGATTTCAGCAACTCCATGAGACATAGCTTTGTATTCTGCTTCAACACTAGATCTAGCCACCAAACTTTGCTTCTTACTTCTCCATGTGACCAAGTTTCCTCCTACAAAGGCACAATACCCACTGGTAGACTTTAGGTCATTAACTGCCCCTGCCCAATCAACATCAGTATATACTTCCACCTTTAAATGTCCATGTTTCTGGAACAGCAAACCAGCTCCTTGAAACTTCTTGAGGTATCTAAGGATCCCCTCTGTAGCTTCAAAGTGAGTTGTCCTAGGGTTGTGCATGAACTGAGTAAGGACACCCGTTGCATAAGCAATATCAGGCCTGGTCATAAACAAATACAAGAGTCTCCCTACAGACCTCTGAAACTTCTTCACATCTTTCAAGAACTCCACCTGACTATCTCCCAACTGATGGTTAGGTTCAATTGGTGAGTCAATTGGTTTCACCCCTAGCTTGTCTGTATCTTCTAGTAGATCCAGTACATATTTCAGTTGGGAAATAAAGATACCCTTTTGAGAGCGGGCAACTTCAATTCCAAGGAAATAACGTAAGGGTCCTAGATCTTTCACCTCAAATTGAGTGGCTAAGAATTTCTTCAGTTTTTGTATTTCGGTCTCCCAATCTCCTGTGATCACTATGTCATCCACATACACAATTAAAGCTGCAATTTTCCCTTCACCTTTCTTCACAAACAGAGTGTGGTCTAACTGGCATTGTTTGAACTCCATCTGTTGAACTGCTAAATGGAACTTACTAAACCATGCCCGAGGTGATTGTTTCAACCCATATAAAGATTTTTTTAACCTGCACACTTTCTGCTCACTGCCTTTGGCACAAAAACCTGGAGGTTGGATCATGTACAATTCCTCTTCTAAGTCACCATTCAAGAAAGCATTCTTAATGTCTAATTAGTGAAGTTCCTAGTCAAGATTTGCTACCAATGAGAGAAGAATCCTGATAGAGTTCATCTTGGCTACTGGAGCAAATGTCTTTGCATAGTCCACTCCATATACCTGTGTAAAACCTTTTGCCACCAATCTGGCCTTGTACCATTCAACAGTTCCATCAGCCTTGTGTTTCACTGTGAACACCCACTTGCATCCCACTGGTTCCTTCCCTTCAAGAAGATCCACCAACTCTCAAGTGTCATTTTTGTGCAATGCATCAATTTCTTCCTTCATTGCATCTGTCCATTCAGGTTTGGATAAACCTTATGCCACATTCTTAGGAATAGGGTTATTGTCAACAGAAAAGAGGACTGCACAATATGAAGGTGAAATATGGTCATAGGACACAAAGTGAGAGATAGGATGATTAGTGGTACAAGATCTAACACCCTTTCTCTTAGCAATAGGAACATCAAGATCATTAATGACAGGGGAATCAACATTGAGAGGTACAAGCATATCAATAGAAACAAGTGTACCTAGCTAATGAGAAGGATCGACCTCCGAAGAATCTGATGATGTTGGTTGCATAGTGGCAAGTTCCATAGCTCTTAAACTCTGCTGGCTTTTGTGACGGCGAAGAAAGACACGGAATGGAGGAGGATCAGGAAGAGGAGGTAGTTGACTCTGACCTTGGGTGTGTTTCTCCTTAACCCTACTCTCCCCCTGAGGAGAAGTCGAGAAGAAAGGTTGATTCTCAAAGAATGAGAAATCAATGGAAACATAGTACTTGCGAGCAATGGGATCGTAGCAACGATACCCCTTTTGAGATAAAAGATAACCAAGGAAAATACAAGGAATAGCACGAGGATCATGTTTACCCCGAGTAGGGGACAAGTTATGAACAAAGCAACGACACCCAAAAACACGCATTGGAATGGGGGACAACGAAGTTGTAGGAAACAAAAGCTGATGTGGGGCCTTATACTCTAGTAACCGAGATGGCATACGATTGATGATGTACGTAGCACACAGAACAGCATCCATCCAGAAACGTTTCGAAACATTCATATGGAGTAACAATCCACGAGCTACTTCGAGAAGGTGGCAGTTTTTCCTTTCAGCAACACCGTTTTGCTGGGGTGTCCTAGCACAAGAGTTTCATTGAAGAGATCCACTCGAAGCAAAGAATTCCGTGAGATCACTATGGAAGTATTCCTTTGCATTGTCCAACTGGAAAATATGAATTTCAGTTTGGAACTAAGTGAACACCATGCGTTGAAAGTCTTTCACAATTTTAGGCACTTCATCTCTAGATCGTATAGGATAAACCCAAGTATATCTAGAGTAATCATCGATCAAAGTAATGAAGTACTCCATTAGGTATTGGAGTCAATTACCC